GCGTGCAGGGACATGGAGCGAGGGGAGGCCGCTAAGAAAGAAGTCATCGAAAGCTCGGGCAGCGAAAATGTCCTTTGCATGAAACTTGACTTGGCAGATAGCAAATCGATAAGAGAATTTGCTGAAGCCATCAACAAAGGTTAGCCAATATCATCCTTAGGAATCTGTAAACATTTAAGATCTTTGAAGCCACACACATATAACTTCTTAATATTGTTTTGTACAGATGAGCCGAAGCTAAACATCCTCGTCAACAATGCTGGTGTGATGGTCTGTCCATATGGGAAAACAGAAGATGGCTTTGAGATGCAGATCGGTGTCAATCACTTTGGTACAAAAATAACATTGTGTAGTGCTCTTACGTTTGTTATTATTATTAGTCAATTTATTGAACATGTCAGAAACAAAAACATACAATAATATATATATATTCTCTTTTTTCCTTTTTTTCTCACTCAAATTAATAATTATAACAAAGTACAAAAAATAAATAATAATTCTCAAATAGTCTCTGTCATGTTCAACAGGGGCAAGAAGAAGCTTAAAAAAACTTTTCTGGTCCTACCCCCTCTAGCATATATTTTTCTTATAAATAAAATATTAGGTCATCGTCATCAGCGACATGTTTGTCTTGTTCATTTGTTTGCTTTTTTACAAAACAATCAGAAAGAAATTACTTTTACAATTACAAGAAATAACAACAAATGGGATTTTACACGTCCTGTTCATAACCATTAATGATTTGGCTCCTAAATAATACTTTCAGTTTAGATAGACTTGTACAATATGTGTCATGAGGATAGGACCCAGATAGAGATGTGAGTCAAGCATGGCCTGTCCTTGTCGAAATCCAACACAAAATATATTTGACACCAAAATATTAGTATTATGGAGTCATGTTCTTACTTGTCAAAATCTATTTAATCTGCATTTAGTTGGCGGCTAGGTAAGCAGAGCTAATTGTATCAAAGAAAATACACTATAGATCGTTATACATTGAAATGATAAAGAAGTAAAGATAGCTTTTTTGAACTTTTTTTCAACGGTAATGACAGAACTTTAGCAACATCATTTCCCAAATCTTGGATTGATCAACATGATGCTTTTTCCATTGTCTAGCTGCCCAGTTTTTATGTTTGTTAGTACTGTTTTTTTTACTTTGGTGTAGGTCTCCCGAGCAATTTGTCAGTTACAGTGCCTCTCAGTTGATAGTTAATAGTTTAAGTAGCAATATTCAAATATACTGACATGTAATTGCCCTTATGATCCCAGAGTGTCTGTTTAACTACCCTTAAACTTAGACATTTGTCACTCATCAAAACATCTATTTGATGCAGTGTAGATTCCGGATACAAACCTATTGGTAAGGGATATTCAGCAGCCATTCTGTAAAGTATATGAAGCTTGGAATCTAGATCAAAAGTTAAATTCCTTAATTATTACTTTTGCATTATAAGGTGCCTTTTATCGTTTTCTCAATGTATGAATTGATTGTGAAAGTCATGTCCTTGTTCTCCAGGCCACTTCCTGTTGACACATTTGTTGATTGACCTGATTAAAAGATCAGCACCAGCCAGGATAATCACGGTGTCCTCCATGGCTCACTCCTGGAGCTCCATCAATTTGGAGGACATAAACAGCGAGAAGAGTTACGACAAGAACCGGGCCTACTCTCAGAGCAAGCTAGCCAATGTCCTCTTCACCCGCTCATTGGCTAAGAGACTAGAAGGTGTGTGTCATACCCTCATATCCGTGATTTTATGCATTTGTTGTATTTTCTTTTATTATTCACACACTGTTGTACGGTGACATTAATTTGATGTCTTTCAGGCACAGGTGTGACGACATATTCTCTACATCCTGGAGTCGTGCAGACAGATTTATGGCGTCATCTAAATGCCCCTCAACGGGCCATCATGAAAATAGTCAGTCCTTTCACCAAAAACTCTTCCCAGGGAGCTCAGACGAGCATTTACTGCGCAGTGGAACCATCACTGGATAAAGAGAGCGGTGGATATTACAGGTAGATTTCTGCCACTCATCAAATATTTCTTATAAACAACATCTGATACCATTGTTGAGGTCAACAAGATAACTGAAAGTGAACAAGTAATAAGTAATTGCTTTATTGTCTACAAGTTGTGACAACACTTCAAGAAACAATTCTCCTTTTTAGATAAAACAAATGATAAAAAGGTTTTTGTTACACATTGCATATTAGGGCCATTCAAAAAAAATGATGGAGCTGAGGGAATTGTGTAATATTCCGAGAAGACACTAATCTAAATTAAAGTTGTAAATTAACATTTAAAAGCTCAGAACATTTTTACCAAATTCAGCTATTAAAAACTTAATTCATTCATTTGGGAGCAAAACAACTCAGAAAATAAGCTTCATGACATTAATCTTTAAAATTGTGTCTTTTACTCTGATTTAACCCCCCCATTTTATAAGTTACTTCCTTTTTTTTCAAGATTGGCAATCACAGATCTTATAAAGAACATATATTAACCCAAGCGGTAACATTTTAATTGTGGTATGGGCATTTCAGTCTTACCTTAACATGATATATCTCGTTAGATTTGTTTTTGACCGGCACTATATAACAGATAGATGGCTTTGTTTATTACCCATCATACTTAGAAAAGCAGACACTGTTATGTTTTACTTGCAAATGACATACTTTTCCACTACACAATAGTTGGCTTGTAGATAAGATTGTATTAACAAGAAAGCAAGAACTTACTATTTCCCAATAAGTTATTACCTAAGATACGTTTTAAATAATCACTTTCAAGTTAAGAAATATGGATTGAATACTGTCTGATTGAGCCATAAACTCATTGTGTATTAAATAACCTGTATTGAATGTATGAAAGAGATGATTTATTAATATTTAACGCCATTCTTACATCTTGTAATTTGTCTTTTCATACAGCGACTGTGCTCCTGCCAACTGTTCAGCAGCTGGCAAAGATGATGTCGTGGCGCAGAAGCTGTGGGATATGAGCTGTCAGATGTTGTCGTTAACATGGGAATAAGCAACCTGGATTTAGAATAAGTGTTGCTTTTTCTCAATATGTTTCAATGATAGTCTTCCATTAAAGACATTTCCTAATCAGCACTTTTTCAGCACTTCTTAGGGGTTTCTGTTTAACATAACATAGAGTATTTGCACAAAATGGCATTACTTCCTATTAAGTAAATACTAATATACCATGTAATGTATGTAAACAAAGTTTGATTTGAAGTACTTTTCTTTTCCTTTTTACAATACATTTTTAATAATATTTTAGGAAAACTGTGGAATAGTTCACTTAATGTTTTACATTTTTTAACTGTATTTTCTGCTATTAAACCTGGTGTTGACCAATCAATTATTTTTGTTTTGTTCCTTCCTGCACATCATTTCAATTAACTGAATACGAAAGGGCATATTTTTGGCCACCTTCATACTTATTTACAATAGAAAAGAGAAACGGGTAGCACCACATATTTTGGTTTAATATCTGCTATTGCTTATATTTCGTTTGATAGATTTATGTTTGAGAATAAAAGTAGCTTACACTTGAAAATTCAACTGGAAAGCAATAAGCCAATCACATTATTTTGTGATTGGCTTTTAATTACATTTCCTGGCTGTCGTTACAAATTGATCTCAACAAACGTGTGGAAATTAACCAAACCTAAATAAAGAAAAAAAAATGGTGGCAAGGAACCATCCCTTTGCCCATTACTCCTGTTCTCTTTGTGGAGTTTTTGGCAATCTTTCAACTCAAAGGTGATGTAACTGTTTATATTAGTTTATAGGTTGTAACAGGTTGCCGTACCTAACACTTCCCCAACAATTTCGCACTGATCTTTGCTTGATCAGGTTGTGATAAAAACACCCCAGTCAATAACTTTAATACCGCACTATGATCTTTGTGACTTTAGTGGACTGATAAGGGCAATGAAATAGAGATTACAGCAAAACCCTTTATATGACGGGGATGGAAACTACGACAAGACTTGCATAGAGCTCCCTGAACGCTGGTAATAGACGAGTTGGGATTGCGGATAAATGCTCTCCGCAGACCCATTCTCACAGCGTTCTAAACCTTTTTCTTACTCAATATCAAGCCACACTTATTGTTTTTACTTCGGCTGTGAGTGTTTGTGTGTGCTCAAGATGAGTTTCGCTGTGTTTCGCCGACCCGGAAACCTGTCCGCTCCTCACAGCAGCGGCGAGAAGCAACGAGCCTTGCAAACGTCCCTCGCAGCGTCCCGACCAATCAGAGCACACTGGGCTCACAGGGAGGGGGGGCAGGAGCTCCAACAAGCTGTTTAGGACAGAGAGTGAATACCTGGTGAATACACATACTATACAGAGATGCTGTATGAGAAACCAATGTGATTTTGGAAAATTGCACAATTTAAATCTATTCTAGTAGACCTCAGCAATGGAAATATGATCAGTAGAAATGGCCATGACATGGGACCTTTAATATTTATTTATCTATATCTTGAAAGTGGTAAGTAAATTGTTTAGATGGGTGAACTTACATTTAACATTGCCCATAGGAATAAGGAATGTAAACTTGATGTCCTTGATTGATAGGTTGATTGTTATAACTGATAAACTACAATAAATGAAACAAAACCTGAAGTAACCCCATCGTTGGATAACATGTTGATGTTTAAACAAGGTCTAATCATTTGCAAGGCGCCATAAATGTGTGCACTGAAGTCTTTCATCTCCATGGCTACGTATACAATAAATCATTAATGTTTAATAAAGAAAAGAAGCTGGCTATAAGAATAAAGCGTAAGTCCGGCAGTGATACCATCACTGGGGGTAAAAGGCAACAGAATGGATGTAAGGATGCATGACGAAACTGGACTAATTAAATAGTTTGCAAGAATGCTATATACATTGACTTTCTGGATGTGAGCGCTGCCTGCAAGCAGCAGTGATACTGTGATGATGCAGTAAAGATTTTAGATTTTTCATCCTCAGAATGGAAGAAGCTGAAGACGCTATTGCCGTGGTAGGCATTGGATGCAATTTTCCAGGGGGTAAGTACTTTGAATTTGTGAACGTATTTTTTGTTTATTTTACGTTTGTTGTGTTAATTACTATCGCATTGACAGATTTTATAACTACACTCACAGTAATGTTCTTCATTTGTCTTAACACACAAATGGAGAACATTACTGTGAGTGTAGTTATAAATAAAAAAACATAAAAGAAGCTGCATATTCTTACAATAAAAGATTGTTTTAGAAATAAACACAATACAAATAGTTGTACTTGAGACATACAACCCATGGCTGGTGAAATTAATTCCCCAAAAAATGTTCTTCTTTTTATTCTATTTAAATGTAATAAAAACTTTGTGTTGCAAACCAAGAGCATTGTGCAATTGACAGTGGGCATTGTTCTCCTTATCTGCCAACTACAATTTATATTACCACAGTTGAGATTTGAAGTATGACGTATCTCTTTTCAAACAGGAGAAGGGCTTGACAATTTCTGGAAGGTTCTGTTGGAGGGGAAAAACTGTTCTGTGCCAATTCCCAAAGAGAGATTTGACATATCCAGCTGGTATGACCCTGATGACAACAAGGCGGGTAAATCCCGCACAGCCAAGGCTGCATTTATCAATGGGTATGCTGTTTATAAATGATTTTCCAATTTAGATAAAACGTGTTTTATAACTTATAAATTAAAACTGATGTAATAACTTGTTTTCCCTATTAATAAAGGTATCTCTGTAATGTTGTACAAAGCATAGTTGAGGCTTCTCGTAACTATTTGTATTGGGTAAATTAAAACAGGGGTGTCATTTCTTTGTGGCCCTTCATTTAAAGTGGACCTATTATGCTATATTTGAAAATGTATTGTCAGGCCATACCTATACAAAACATGTCTGTGAAGTTTTTTGCTTAAAATACCAAACAGGTCACCCATGCCTCATACTGCTCATACCCCTCTATTTCAACCCTGTTCCAAAAAGGCTGATTCTGCTTTAAATGGAACGGCTGCTGCTAGCCACGCCCCTTTGTAGCGTCATGCAGCTTTCCCCTGCTAAGAGAGTTTTCTACCGGGAGAAACTCAGCAGTGATTAAATAATAATAATGATAATAATAATGCATTTTATTTATATAGCGCTTTTCACAACTCAAAGACGCTTTACAATATGAGGGAGGGTAGACAAACAATGACAGGCAAACAAGTAAGTATAGTAAAATAAAAAAATAAAAAGGCAGTCAAGAGGAAGTTGATTGAGAGGGGGAGGGGGCTTATGGGTAGACAGAGTTGAAAAGATGTGTTTTGAGGCGGGACTGAAAGACTGTGAGGGACTCAGAGTCACGGAGATCTTGGGGGAGGGAATTCCAGAGCCTAGGAGCTGCCACTGAGAAGGCTCTGTCCCCAAAGCTGCAGAGTGTGGATGTGGGAATGGATAGGAGTCCGGCTGCGGTGGATCTGAGGGACCGTGGGGGTTGATAAGGAGTGAGAAGGTTTGTGAGATAAGGGGGGGCCAAATGGTGGAGTGCTTTGTAGGTGAGGACCAGAATTTTGTAGTTGATGCGATGGGAGACAGGAAGCCAGTGGAGGTCTTTGAGGACTGGGGTGATGTGATGCCATGATTTGGTATGCGTGAGGAGACGTGCAGCTGCATTTTGAACCCGTTGGAGTCTGTTGAGGGATGTAGTGCTGATGCCGTAAAGAAGTGAGTTGCAGTAGTCAAGGCGGGAGGAAATGAAGGCATGGATTAGTCGTTCGGCTGCGGGGCGGGTGAGAGAGGGTAGGATTTTTGCAATATTGCGGAGGTGGAAAAATGAGGTTTTGACTGTTTGGCGGATGTGAGGTTCGAGGGAGAGGGTGGGGTCAAAGATTACGCCAAGGTTGCGTGCCTGATTGGAGGGGGAAACAATGGTGCCATCGATGGTGAGTGTTATGTTAGTGACCTTGCTGAGGGTGGATTTGGAGCCAATTAGGAGGAGTTCTGTTTTGTTGCTGTTCAGTTTGAGGAGGTTATGTTGCATCCAAGTTTTAATAGCTGTCAGACAGGAATCGATGTGGGTAAGGGGTGGGTTATGGAGGGATTTGATGCTAAGGTAGATCTGGAGGGTCATCAGCATAGCAGTGGAAGTCCAGGTTGAAGTGGCGGAGTATCTGACCGAGGGGCAGGATGTAAATGATGAAGAGGAGGGGGCCAAGTACTGATCCTTGAGGAACGCCTTGGGTGACTGAAGCTGTGGCAGAGGAGTGGTTGGGGAGGGAGATGAAGTGGGATCGTTCAGTGAGGTAGGACTGGAGCCATCTGAGTGCAATACCTTCAATACCAATGTCCCTGAGTCGGGTGAGCAGGATGTTGTGGCTCACGGTATCGAAGGCTGCACTCAGGTCGAGGAGGATGAGAATATTGAGGGAACCAGTGTCAGCAGAGGTGAGGAGGTCATTGAGGACTTTGACGAGTGCAGTTTCTGTACTGTGGTAAGGACGAAATCCAGACTGAAGGGGTTCATAAAGCTGGTTGGTTTGGAGATGGCAGTGAATTTGTTTGGCTACAATGCGTTCAAGAGTTTTTGAGAGGAATGGTAGGTTGGAGATGGGGCGGTAATTAGTGAGGGAGGAGGGATCAAGACCAGGTTTTTTGAGGATTGGAGTAACGGCAGCAGTTTTGAAGGCAGAGGGGACGGTTCCATGGGACAGCGAGGAGTTGAAAAGGTTAGCAAGATAGGGACAGAGGACGGGGAGGCAGGACTTCAGGAGAGGAGTGGGCAGAGGGTCAAGGGAGCAGGTTGTGGGATTTGAGGAACCGATCAGATGGAGTATTTCAAGTGGGGTAACTGGGAGAGGCGGCGCTGGGGAGGAAGAGTCAGGAGGTCAAGGGAGATGGGGGGAGGAATGGTAGCGGTGGAGGTTGGGGGAGATGCTTGTATATCAGATGGAGCTGAGAAGGAGTGGTTAATAGCGTTAATTTTGTCTGCGAAAAACTGGAGGAATGAGCTGCAAGTAGCGGAAGTAGAAGTAGGCAGGTTATCAGCACGGGGTTTGAAGAGCTTGTTAACTGTGGAGAAGAGGGTCCTGGTGTTATGGTAGGGGTCAGTGAAGTGCCATAAAAAATGCCATATTATGCTCCCAACCGCTTCAAGCATTATTTCTGAAACAGTATAGAGCTCAAACCTTTCTCTCATTACATGTCACTTGTTAGACGCTTTTATCCAAAGCGACCTACATACTCAATACTGTGGGCAATCCACACAGGAGCAATTTGGGGTGAAGTGTATTTTGAAATTCAGTTCCTGACGGACGCCAAAAAAGCCCGAGATTATGGAATTAAACAAATAAATCAAAACAAGGATAATTGTGTGTTATTGTTGAATAAATAACAGTGTGTTATTTAGAAAAGAATAACAAATTAGAAGGAAAAAACGATTAAAAAAAATACAGATTTCAGTATTCTGAGGCTCTGAGCCCAATTTATTTTCCTCACAGACGACAAAAAAAGTCTGACATCATACGATTTAAAATAAAAACGATAATCGTGGCTTGGCTGCGAGGGGATTCAGCTAGACACGGAGACGATAGGTTGGGACGTGTCACGTATGCCGGAGACGATAGGTTGGGACGTGTAACGTGTGCCACATGTCGACAATGATGTCATAGGAGCCAAAATCCTGGATCTGCTCATTAGCATCCCCCTTTTTTGTTTTTTTCAGAGATGTGGGTACGGAGGAGAAGATTTGGGGTTTTGTTTTCTGACACTTTGTGAGTTCCCTGACACACCGGGGACACATATTTATGTATAAAAGTCATCAAAAAGTGCATTTTGCATAATAGGTCCCTTTTAAGGTTTTCTGCGTTATTGAGATGTCTATTAAACTGTGAACTCAGATGTTGATGATGTCATTGATTTTGTATTAATTCCAGATTCCGGGTCGATGCCGGATCTATTCTAAATCTATATAAAGGCCTTATCTGACAATTGTACTGAACTTGCATTGAAAAACAATGTGTAGTCCTTTCCGTTATATAATACACATTCCGAGCTTAATGTGCTGTCATATTCTCCTTAATATAAACCTCATCCATCCATCAAAAGACGATGTTAAATCTAATTAAATACAAACTGTGTAACTCGATATAGAAGGGATTTTGGATCATCAAAAATGAAGAAGGGACCACCTTACAACTTTGGAAGGGTGTCTTTGCACACCACAAACATGGTTGTGTGTAGAAACCCCTTTCTTTGTTTTTATTTTAAAAGTATGGTTATCACCAGCAAAGAAGTTTCGCTTCAGGCAATTCAAGTAATACATTATGAATTATTGCTATATCACTACATTTGATTTAATGGATTTCAATTGTTTCAGGTACAATGAATTTGACCACAGATTCTTTGGCATCAGTGACAGTGAAGTGGAACAGATGGACCCTCAACAAAAACAGCTCCTTCAGTGTGTCTACAGGGCATTGGAAAATGCCGGAATCCCTATGGAGAAGGCCAGTGGGACCAGGACTGGAGTGTATTTCGGTAAGTCACTAAAACTATTTTGCCAGGGAAATCTTTTTTTTAATTTAGTTTTGTTTAATATTTCCATCAGAGGTTTTGTTACAACTTTTCTTTGAATATTCTCCATGCAATAACCACTAGGTTATGTTATGCACGTTTCTTATCAGTTTAATGTTGCTTTTATTGTAGGCATCATGAACAGAGATTATGAGACAAATGCTACACACGTGCACCCAAGTGTGATCAACCACTGGACTGGCACAGGCCTTGCCATGAGTATTGCTGCAAACAGAGTGTCCTACATCTTCAACTTCACTGGGCCCTCACTGTCTCTAGACTGTGCCTGCTCATCATCTCTTGTGGCTCTTCATCTTGCCTGTCAATCCATTAAACAAGGTCTGTATAGTAGTCCAACTAACATTAATGAGACTTTTTAGAGCAGCCTGTAAGGTACAGTTGATGGAAATCTGTAGCGTTGTGGGTTTAATTGCAAAGATACTGTTTAATGAGGGCTTTCAAATATTATTGTTTGAGATTATGCAACGTGTTTTATTTCATCAGGCGATTGTGAAATGGCTGTTTGTGGGGGAGTCAACTGTATTATAGAGCCAAGAGTGTTTGTTGCTCTCAGCAAGGCCAAGATGATCTCACCTGGAGGGACCAGCAAACCCTTCTCGAACAAAGCAGATGGTTATGGTAGAGGGGAGGGCTGCGGAGTTGTTCTGCTGAAGCCGCTGAAAAAGGTAAGAATATGAAGAGTCATAAAAGTTGAACAATGTCATTTTTATCTTTTTATTTTCTAGTAACCAGTAACTGGTTTATTTTAAACATTAAATATCACATATTTTATTCCATATTACATACTCTTGTTGTTTCTTTTCTTGTTTTTGCTTTACAGGCTATACATGACCATGACAATATCTGGGGTATCATCAGCAAAACAGCCGTTAACCAAGATGGACACTCAGTTTCCCCAATCACCAAACCATCCATGACACAACAAGAGGAACTCCTGCGCAGAATCTACTCAGAGTCTGACCTTGTGAATGTCCAGTACATAGAGGCACATGGGACAGGAACCCCAGTTGGAGATCAAACAGAGGCAGGAAGCATCTCAAATGTCATTGCTAAAGCCAAACCTCCTGGTTCAGAGATACTGCGGATTGGCTCTGTGAAGAGCAACATTGGACATACAGAATCTGCAGCGGGAGTGGCCGGACTCATTAAGGTTCTCCTCATGATGAAGCATGAAACAATTTGCCCCTCAGTTTTCTATTCTGAGGAGACTGCCAGTGTAGATGCTAAAGCCCTGAGCATTAAAGTTCCTAAGGAATCAGAAAAATGGGAAGCCTTAGGTCCAAGAATTGCAGGAGTTAATAACTTTGGCTTTGGGGGTACCAATGCACACGCCATTGTCAAACAGCACAAGCAATCACACATTGAGAAGAGAAATGGTGGGAAACAGAAAAAGTATTTTGTCATGTCGGCAAATTCACCGAAATCTCTTACTCTGATGACAGAAGACACCATTAAACAGCTAGATGCAGATAGTGAACTTGATGTAGATTCGCTGTTGTACACATCAGCTTGCAGAAGGAGCCATCTAAAACATAAATACAGAAAGGCCATCATTGTTTCATCCAAAGTTGAGCTTAAGGAAAAGTTAAGTGCCACTTTAAGCAAAAATGTTCGCCCTTCCCTTTCAGATCCAAGGCTAGTGTTTGTGTTTTGCGGAAATGGTGTCACTTACCATGGCATGTGCAAACAGCTACTTAAACATGAGCCTGTGTTCAGGGGTAAGATCGAAGAGATTGGAAAACTCTTCCAAAGACTGAGTAAAACTAACATTTTGGACACACTTGAGAGTGAGATTGAGGGTAGTGACTTCAACAAGCCACGTGTTATCCAACCACTCCTCTTTGCTATCCAAGTTGGCATTACTACCCTACTCAGGTACTGGGGTGTCAAGCCCGATGCAATACTTGGACACTCGGTTGGCGAGGTTGCAGCTGCTCACTGTTCTGGCCTCTTGTCTCTTGAGGATGCAGTAAAAGTCATCTATTTTCGCAGCACTCTCCAGAACAGAGTCACTGGGGGAAAGATGCTTGTGATCAGCAACATGGCTATATCCGAGGTAACTGCTCTTCTCCCTTGTTACTCTGGTAAAGTTTGCCTGGCTGCTTTCAACAGTTCGCAGTCCTGCACCCTCTCAGGTGATGCAGATGCAATTGAGAGCATCCATAAAGAGCTAAGCACCTCAGTTAACAGTCAGAATCTGTTCCTCCGTGTTTTGGACGTTCCTGCTGCTTACCACAGTCACATGATGGACCCGATTCTGCAAGAAATCAAGGAGACAATTGGCTCGTTAAAGGTCAATGATCTCGACATAGAGTTGTTCTCAACAGTGACTGGCAAGGAAGTCCAGCATGGGGATTTCTGCAATGGGGAGTACTGGGCGAGGAACATTCGTGAGCCAGTAGCTTTTGAGCAGGCCGTGAACTCAGCAACCAAAGGCAAGAAGAATGTAGTGTTTGTAGAGATAGGGCCAAGAAGGGCACTACAGAGAAACATCATGGAATCTCTGGGGAATGACACATCTGTTCTTACCTCTGTGCAGCCAGAAAAAGATCATGAAACATTACTGTCTGTTGTTTCTAATCTGTTTGAACTAGGTGTTCGAGTACATTGGGACACCTTCTACAGAGGATATGAGACGATGCCACTGCCTATTCCAAAATACCAGTTTGATTGTTCGGACAGGGATGTTATCATTGGAGCAGCACAGAAAAACACAGTGAGCAATCACCCTGTGATCTGTCAGACAGGGAGTGAAAGTAACATTTTCAGTTGTGATCTGATGTCTGACTCTTCTTTCTACCTGAAAGAGCACAAGCACAACAACATACCCATAATTCCTGGGGCCTTCTATGCTGAGTTGGGCTTAGCGGCATTCATGGCCAGTGCCAAACCAAAAGTACCGCTCTGCTCACTCCAGGTCAGTGTCAATTTCCACAGTCCTTTCGTTTTAAGCCAGAATTCCCCGGAAATGAAAGTGCAACTAGAAAAAAGAGAGGAAGACACTAAGTTCATGGTTCTCTCTCCATCAGCAATGTATGCATCAGGCACAGTGGTTTCAAAGAAAGAGAGGCTGATTGAGGAACAGTGCATTTCATTAAGCTCCATCTACAAAAGATGCAAATCAGTAGTGAGCTCCGAGGAGTTTTATGGGTATCTCTCTCAAGGAGGCTTTCAGTATGGAGACGTCTTCAAGAATAAGTGGGATGTGCACTATGGAGAAGATCTCAAGGAGGCTTTTGCAAAAGTCACTGTTCCAGAAGAACTGCGGTCTCAGTTGCATGACTACTACATCCATCCTGTTGTTTTGGATTTTCTGATGCAGCTTCTCCCAGTTACAGTGGAGCACATTTTTGCGGGTAGACCAGGCTTTCCTGTCAAAATCGGAAGTTTGACAGTGTTCGAACCTTTGCAAGATGAGATGGTTGTGTATCTGAGAGCGATCGATGTGGGCAAAGATCACCTTGAGATATGTGGCTGCTTTGCAGATAAACAAGGGAAAGTGTTGGTTGAGGTAAAGCACGCGATAATCAAGTACCTTGGTAGTCGCTCTCATGTGGTTGAGGAGTATTTCTACCATAATGCCTTTCGTGTCATCCCTGAAGGTGTCACATCTGCTTCTCCTCCTAAGGCATTGGTCTTTGCCGACAGTAAAGGGATCTCAAAAGGCCTGCAACAATATTTGGACTTGAAGTCTATATACGTTCCCTTCCAACATGCAAAAGACATCTTGAGCAATGGGTTTCCTACACTCCTGCTAAATCTTAATATTACCGACATTGAGAACAACTTCGATGAGGTCTTATTTTTGTGGGGCCAAGAAGACCTGACTTCGCTGTCAGCTGATGTTATATTGCAGAATTTGGCGAGCTGCTTGGAGACTTTCCGCCAAATAGTCCTTAAGCTAAAGCAAATTCGTTTTCCAAACTCCATCAGAGCAGTCACCTACTGTTCATCTGATATCACAGTGGACCACATAAGTCCAGGTTTTGCCCTGGCTGGTATGACCAGATCATTTGCTGCAGAGATACCAGAACTTTCCTTTCAGCTGATTGATATCAGCAGCACCTCTCCCAAGGACATTGCAGCTCTGTCTGAGGTCCTAAGATCACATCCTTGCAGCAAGTACCCAGAGTTGGTTGTAAAAGATGGGCAGATTCTGAAACCTTCTATTGTCCGCACTCCACCTGAAATCATGGACAGTTCAGTGGGCAGGTTTACTTCTACAGTGTCAGAGCCCTGTATGCTTCAGACAGATGAGGCACATAACATGACCCACTTGAGTGCCATTCACTGTAAGGGGGACCCCGAGGCAGTTAGGGACAGGTCAGTTGAAATTCGGCCAAGTAAGATATGTGCTCATTCGCCAGATTACTTCCCTGTCAGTGCATCACATCTGAATTTTGGCCAGACGCTGTACTGGAACAAACACTCATCACAGAAACACAAGCTACTGGCGCTTGATTTCAGTGGTACTATTACAGCAGTCGGAAAAGATGTCAGGAAATTGAAAGTGGGAGACCAGGTTGCTTCCTGTTATCCTGTGGTAGCAGCCAGCAAGGTCAGAGTTCCAGAGGATGTTTGCTACAGCATCAAGCGGTTCCCATTTCTTCAAAAGACACCTTGTGTTTCCTACTTTGTGCTAGCATGGGAGATCCTTCACCGAGCCTTGTCAAGAGCCAAACATCATCTCGGAATCATATCCTCTGTGCCTGATTCTGCTCTGATGAAAGTCTTGGCACTCACTGCTTACAAGTCAGGCTGGAACGTGATTGTTGGCACACAGTGCAATGGCTCTTTTGTAAATGTCAATCAAATGGATGTTTTTGTCATCCTGCCTCCGTTTGATGAATCACTGATTGCTAACATATGCACATTTCCAGGTATCCAACATGTTGTCTTCATCTGTGAATCCCAGATGCAGTGTTTGCTTGCTCAGGATGTGATCCAAAGTGTTAAGGACAGTGTTCATGTTCAGACAATTCAGATGCCTGTCATTTTGCAAAAGGGATCCTTGAGTGCACAAAGGCCTTACATCTATCATTGGTTAAAATCCTTGAACTTGAACAGGACATTTTCCCTTGATAGCTATACTTATCAGAATGTCAAATCTGAAAGCATTGAGATCCTTAAGTCAGAGACACCACAATCATACTTCAACTCAAAGAAACTGGCTGTTGTGGTTTTGGAAAAAGATGGCAGAAGTACGCCGTCTGACATTCCGTTGCTGCCAACAAAAAAACAGCTTTTCCGAAAGAGGGCAGTGTACATAGTTGCAGGTGGTCTTTCTGGTCTGGGGTTTGAAACTGTCAAGTTCATTTCACAAAGAGGGGGTGAGTATGTTGTCATACTCTCTAGGAGCAAGCCCACACCAGATGTGGAGCAAGAGATACACAATGTGGAGAAACAGTGTGGAAACTGCATCACTTCCATGCAGTGTGACATATCTGTGTCTGAGTGTGTGCACAAGGTTATCAACGCCATAGGCAAGACATTCCCTGGTTGTCCAATCAAAGGAGTGTTTCACAGTGCAGTTGTCTTGGATGATGGGCTGATTGAGTCCCTCAACAGATCTCTTTATGAGAAAGTACTCAAACCCAAAGTCAATGGTGCACTGAATTTGCATCATGCAACAAAGCACTGTCAACTGGATTACTTTGTGTGTTACTCCTCCATCTCAGCTTTTCTGGGAAACGCATCACAAACAAACTATGCAGCAGCCAACACATTCCTCGACATGTTCTGTCAATACCGGCGCAAAATCGGGCTGTCTGGGCAGTCCATCAACTGGGGAGCCCTAAACCTTGGCCTCCTCTTGAACAAGGAACATTTCCAGAGGTTTCTTGAGGCAAAGGGGATGATGGTGTTGGATGTGGCTGAGATTCATCAAAGTCTGGAGCAATGCCTTGTGCTCAATCTACCCCAACAGGCGGTTTGCAGGTTTCACTTCAGAAACATCAGGTTCAACATCCTCTCACAAAATGCGGCCTTGACCATGCGCCTGTCTGCATTGGTAGTGGAGGCTATCCAAAAATCCAAAGAGACAGATTCTCAAACCAAACAAACTCAAACAGTGTCACCAAAAGATTATGTTGTGTCTCTGATTTGTGAGACCATCGGCATGGATAAAAGCGAGCTGAAAGATGAATCACCTCTTTCATCTGTAGGCATTGACTCCATGCAGGCCATGACTCTGCAGAATCTCATCTTTCAGGAGAGAGGCGTGAATGTGCCTTTGGTGAAACTGTTGGATCCAAATGCTACTCTCTCAACGGTAGTTTCTCTACTGAGTGAAGGTGAAGGTGAAGGTTCCAGTGATAACTTGGAGCCTATTCCCATTAGACGCATTAGTACCAGATTGTAAAAATGACAAATGCAGACACAGAATTCTAGACAATCAGTTATTAGACCATCATAACACAGGAATACCTGAACATGTTATTGGACCTAATATGAGGCTTATAATGGCCATTGAAAACAATGCACATTCCTACTGAACTTTTCTTATTTAAAAAAAAAAAAGTGTAAATGTTTGCTGTTGTTATTGTTTTTGTTCCTTTTGGTATATTTGTTTTACATTGTAATACATAATCTTATTTTACACACTTTTTTTTGAAGATGTAGAAGGGATACTTTATTTCACCCATTCTGTTTAGTGATATGTTCATGATGATGTAAACTTGGAAAAAGTCAGCATTACAATAAAATGCACACTTCTGTAAAAACATGTACATGTTCAGACTGCATATATACTGTAGTACAAGTGTAACTTGATTTTGCCGCTGTTTTAAATTCCCTCATCTCTCACAGCTCATGGCAAGTTTTTATCACAGCCGGCTCAAAGATTCTGATTAATAATCTCCTTTATGATATTGATGGAACAAAACCTGTGATACTGTATTCTTGCATGTCTTATAAATGTTTAATTGAGGGCATCTCTAAATACTGAGCCTTGTATTGTTGAACAACCCATTATAATTTGCGCTGATAAGGACATTGTTCTCAAGGAGGACACACATGCAAATAAAATGAAAACTGTAAAGTATGATGTCAATATAGTATTTTTTTCATTAATTTATAATCATCATTAAGGAACTCCTAAATCATTTGGCTGCACGAGTATTATGAGGAGTTTTGGAAAAGCATATATTTTGTATTGCATCTTGTGTAAAACATTTTTCACTTCATAGCAATTTTTTATGACCATAATGTGGTTTCAAAATGTTCTAACAATACGTTTTTACATGTTGTCTTTGCAACACATCTAATGTTTTTGCTTCATAACACAATAAAATAAAATGACAATTTTCTATGCACCTGATAGTGTTTTTGTTTTTTTAACAAATACTCTTTAAGCAGATTACACAATAACAATGTTACACAACTGGCAGGGACTGGCTCCAAATTGGATCGTGATGTCCTATTTTATTTGTTCACAATTGCAGTAGCTCTTATTTAGTGACTACACATCTTAGAAAATACAAATTAAACATGTGTACATAATTAGGCCAACGCTCATTGTTTAAAATCACAAAGCAAACAAGACACAATAATAGTGAAGAAAAAAATCTAAAAAGTGCAGTGACAATGACAGTGGTTTTCATGGTTATGAGCTATATCAAGCTTTTGCTACACCAACACATTTGCCAGTAGAAAAAAAAACATTTTGACTTTTACATAAAATGAGTTTTTTACATATCCAGGAACTGCAACCACAGCACATTTGGATGATTACAGATATTGTACAGATCTGTTAAAGTAAAACAAAATCAGTATGTAGTACTAATATAACATATACAATAATTATTTTAGGGTTACAAGACTATCGAAATAATTGTAACTGTATCACTCCTATAAGAGTAAAACCAGAGCACTGAAACACAGCCGTCCTTGTGGAATAAGTGCAGTCCAATCATTTTCACATGTCTGCAAATGGTTTTCCCACCCATTTTTTTTAGGGGAAATTATCCATTCATTACAATACCTGCCAAGGTGGCCAGTGTACTGTTGGGGTCCAGTATTTTAACCAAAGGTACATTTACACCTGTTTCTTGGAAAATCTTGTTCTGAAGAGTCATGGCCAACATTGAGTCAATGCCCAGCCCACACAGAGTTGAGTCATCATCCAGCTCCTCCACACTAACATTGCTGATGTCACTTACAATTCTTCTGACACTTTCATGTGGCGAAGACAAATGCTGAACCCTAGGCTCATTATTGAGATAATCCTTAAACTCCATTTCCACTAAAGCTGACAGCCGCTCTCGGAGAGAGGCATTTTGTGAAAGCACATGAATGTGAAGATTTTTGAAGTTGAACTTACATATGACTTGTTGTGGTCTGTTCATCACAAGACATGTTTCAAGTGCCTTTTGAACGTAACAAACATCCATGACCATCATCCCCTTTGCCTCCAGAAACTGTTGGAAATTGTCCTTGTTCAACAAGAGACCCAGGTTCAAAGGACCCCAGTTGATGGACTGTCCAGCAAGTCCAAGGTTTCTCCGATAATGACAGAAACTGTCGAGGAAAGAATTGGCTGCAGCGTAGTTACATTGTGAGGCATTGCCAATAAATGAAGAGATGGAGGAGTAGCACACAAAGAAATCGAGTTTGTTGTGAAGTGTTGCATAATGCAGGTTTAGAGCCCCACACACTTTGGGCTGCAGCACTTTTCGGAAGAGGGACTCATCGAGGTTTTCGATCAACGCATCATGTAACACCGCAGCGCTGTGAAACACTCCTTTGATTGGACAAGAGTGGAATCTTTGTTTAATCATTGAGATTGCGTGCAAGACCTGCGTCGACACAGAAACATCACATTGGACATTCATTACTGTCACCCCATATCTTCTCTGGAGAACTTCCATTTCAAACTTAATTTCATCAGTCAGAGCACTTCTGGACAGCGTTGCAATACAACCTCCAGCATTATGGGCAATGAACTTTACGGTCTCAAGTCCCAAACCAGAGAGCCCTCCGGTGACAATATAAACACAGCTCTGTTTAAACAGTCTTCCAGACCTTGGAAGGAAAGGGATATCAGACACTGGACAGTGTGATTCTGTTTGGTCTAGAACAACTTGCTGCACCGTCTTTGTTGTGAAGTAGGACTCATCATCTGCATCAGTCTGATGCTTGTTCGTGCGTGATAGTTGAAAGGTCTCCCTTTTCAAAGGTAAAGATAAGGAATGAAAACCTAATGACATTAGCCAATTGGAGATATTCCTGTTTTGTTCTTGCAGATTGGCTCTCTGAAGAACATTAGCCACATTAAGTGTATGCACATGAATGTGCTCACTCTGCATTGCAAACCTGTTCGCTGTGAGTGAGGACATGTGATTGCTGCATACAAAAACAATGTGTCTATCGCGATTACCACTGTCATGCATCCCCTGCCAAGAGTGATCAAAGGGGGGAAGAAATACAAATGCATGACTCCGATCAAAATGCAGGGATTGTCCTCTGAAATGTGGAAGAGAGGAAACATTCCAGCCTGACCTGTTTGCCGACAAAGCCAACACTTTCATCAGAGCAGAGGCAGAGTTGGGGGAGATAATGATCAGCTTTCTGTGCTGTTGTTCTACCTTGGACAGCATTCTCTGCAAGATCTCCCAGGCCAGTATGAAGTAAGACACACATGGAGTCTCTTTCAAAATCGGGAGTTGTTTGGTGCTGTAGCACACGGCTTCAGGAATGATGACCTTTGCGGTGGCAGCAACTGGATAACAGGAAGCAATATGATCTCCGACTCTTAGATTATATACATTTTTCCCAACAGCTGTGACAATTCCACTGAAATCTAAAGCCAGAAGCTTGTGATTCAGTGATGTGTGCTTGTTCCAATAAATTGTCTTGCCAAAGTTCAAATGTGAAGTGGTGACGGGAAAGTAATCAGACGAATGAGCACATAAAGTGGTCAGCTGAATCTCAACAGACTTCTCTTGGACAGGACTTGCATTTGTGTCATAGGGGACTGCAGACAAGTAAGCCATGCTGTATGGATCAGTTGTCTGAAGAACAAAGTCGTCCTCATTTCCTGACCGCATATCTCCTTCACATAAAACCTCCTCTCTCATGGGGGTCCTTACAATTCTCGTTGTTGATGCATGTCCATTGCTGATCATGACCTCGTGATGTTGGCAGGTGTTGATTACACAAACCAGCATTTGAATGTCTTCACCGGTCACAGAAGCAAGATCAATCAGTTGAAAAGAGAGGCCTGCAATCTCTGCTGCACAAGACCTTGTCATACCAGACAGCACAAAACCAGGACTTACATGGTCCACAGTCATTTCTGTTGATCTGTTGGTTATGACTCGGACAGTGAAAGAGCGTTTGCTCTCTTTCAAGACTAAAACAATCTGGCGAAATAGCTCACAGCAAGTCACCAAGCGGTCTAGCATCTTCTCAGGTGACAAGTGACTGAAATCACCTACACCCCAAAGGAAGAGAACATTTTCCAAATCCACATTGCTTTTAAGTGAGTCCAACACTAACTTTCGAATTCGATCTGCCATCCAATGCTCACCGCTTTCAACAAATGCGGACTCTGGGTGTAAGTATGGCCTTAGTCCTTTAGCAATGCCAAGTTTGTCTTCAAAAACTATTGCTTTCATTTTTGAATTTTGCAAGTCTTCCTTGTCAGTAATTGAGGTGATTTCATTGTGGAAAAAACGTGACTGAAGACCATTTGAGCAATTGCCCAAAAATGAGATCCTCACCCCTATAAGTTCCACAAGTACATGACCATCTGTGTTGGAAAAGCCACCAGACACATCAAGGAAACCTGGAGTCTCTTGAGTGGCTCGCAAGTACATGACCATATTCTCCTGTAGTGGTGCTGATATGGCTAAGCTACTGATTGCTGAGGGAAATCCTTGCTTGGCTGTTAGCCTTCCGATAGCTACCACAGCGGTCATTTGCAAGAAATAGTCCAATAGCACAGGGTGGATGAAATAGTCATGAAGGTGTTCTAGAAGTTCCTTTGGGACTTGAATAGCTGTCACAGCTTCCTTGAAATCTTCTCCGAAATGCACATCATCAAGCTGTTCAAAGACATTGCCATATTCAAATCCTGCTTGAGATAGAATAGAATAAATCTCTTTTTTCTTCATGACCAATGTGCACCTTTGGTAGATCATGTCAAGACAAATGGTTGGTTCTTCTAACTGCGTTTGGCCATCTGTACATCTGTACGTTCCAGAGGAATGTGTTGCGACAGGAGAATGTATTCTAAATGAAGCTCCATTCTCACCAGGTTCCAGAGTCACTTTCAACTGATGAGAGTTTGAGCTTAGTGCAAACAGGTTCTCAAATCTTACACTGAGCTGGAGCAGAGATACAGGTTTCTTTGGCCTTAAACTCGCCATCGCTGAGGCATAAGCCAGTTCGACAAAGAATGCGCCTGGAACAATAGGAACACCATTGTTTTTATGCTCCCAAAGATATGGTGCAGTCTCTAAAGAGAGGTTGCATATGTACTCTTTGTTATCCTGCTTTATTGGGGATATGAGCATGTGAGGGGGAAATGCAGATGTTTCAATACCTTTTGTCACAGCTTCAAAATGCAATTCCTTTGTTGTGTTGACAAACTGGTAGACTGGAAACTCTGTGGGCAATGTTTCATAACCCCTGTACAGCTGATGCCAATCTACACTGTTGCCTAGTTCAAAGAGTTTGGCCACGGTAGACAAGATTGTGATGTAATCTTTCTCTGGTTGGACTGAGGGAAGAACTATGGTGTTATTTCCCAAAGTTTCATGTATGTTCCTTTGGAGAGCCCTACGGGGTCCAATCTCCACAAAGACCACATTTGTCCTTGAGTGCTTGTCTTTGGTGACAGCGTGCAGTGCTTGTTCAAATAAAACAGGTTCCCTAATGTTCTTTGCCCAGTAGCTGCCTGTTGTAAAGTCACCATCTGAATAACAGTTACCAGTCACCGTTGAAAACAGTTTGCACTCCTTGTTTTTGGCATACAAGGGATTAATACTTGTCTCAATGTCATCAAGTATGGGATCCATCATATGACTATGGTATGCTGCTGGTACATCTAGTTCATGGAGGAAGAGATTTTTCTCTGCAAACATAATCTTCAGCTTCTCATGAAGGATGGCTATAGAATCTGCATCTCCTGACAGAGTGCAGGATTGGGGGCTGTTGAGCGCCGCAACACAAATTTGACCAGCAAATTCCGGAAGGGTTTTTAATACCTTTTCTACAGCCACATTACTGACAACAAGCATTTTCCCCCCTGTGACCTTATCCTGGAGCGTACTGCGGTGATGCAACACTTTCACAGCGTCCTCAAGAGACAAAAGACCAGAACAGTGAGCAGCAGCAACCTCACCAACAGAGTGTCCAAGCACAGCGTCTGGTTTGATACCCCAGTGCTTTAGGAGGGCTGCAATTCCAACCTGAACTGCAAAAATAAGAGGTTGGACAGCATTTGGCCTGCTGAAATCATTATTATCATATTCACCAGAAAGCCATTGACTGATGCTGATGTTTTTATGACTCTGAAAGAGATTCTCCACTTCCCTGACCTTATCTCTGAAAACAGGAACCTCTGTTAGGAGCTGTTTGCACATACCCCTGTAGGCAACGCCATTTCCACAAAACACAAAGACCAGCTTGATGTCAGGACTTATTGATTCAACCTTTGCTTTCAACACAGATGTCAGCTGATGTTTTAACTCTGAGAGGGAAGATGTTGGGAAGGCTCTTCTATATTTGTGCCTAGAATGACTCCTTCCACATGCTGACGTGTAGGACAGGGCCTGTAAGTCAACAGTTTGATCATTGCAAAGCCTCTGGTAGGTGTCAGTGACAGACAGAATAAATGATTTCTCACAGGCTGCGGATGTTACAAAGAGATTTGAACAGCTTTGTGGGATCTGATTGGCTAGGCTGGTCTGTCTGTGCTCCCTTACAATCACATGTGCATTTGTGCCTCCAAATCCAAAGCTGTTGATCCCAGCTACCCTTTCTAACGACCCCTTTGTCTCCCATTGTTCAGCTTTGGTTGGAATTCTTATACCAAGAGCTTTTACATCTAGACTGGCATTGTCTTCTGAGTAGAAAACTGACGGAACAATGGTTGCATGTTTCATCATTAAAAGTACCTTTATCAGTCCGGCCACTCCAGCTGCAGATTCTGTATGTCCAATGTTGCCCTTGACAGAGCCAATCCACAGCATCTCTGAACCAGGAGGTTTGGCTTTAGCAATGACATTTGAGATGCTTCCTGCTTCTGTTGGATCTCCAACTGGGGTTCCTGTCCCATGTGCCTCTATGTACTGGACATTTGCAAGGTCAGACTCTGAGTAGATGTTGCGCAGGAGTTCCTCTTGTTGTGTCATGGATGGTTTGGTAATCGGAGTAACAGAGTGTCCATCTTGGTTGACCGCTGTTTTGCTGATGATACCCCATATTCTGTTGCAGTCTTTTATGGCCTTTGTAGAGAAAGTGACATTATTAACAGACTATCTATTTCCCCTTCTGTTTGAAGTGTATTCAATTAATAGCATGAAATTACTGTCAAAATCGTACCTTTTTCAGCGGCTTCAGGAGAACTACACCACAGCCCTCTCCTCTACCGTAGCCATCCGCTCTGCTAGAGAAAGGTTTGCTGGTCCCCTCAGGCGAGATCATCTTTGCCTTGCTGAGAGCAACAAACACTCTTGGTTCTAATATACAGCTGACTCCTCCACACAGAGCCATCTCGCAGTCTCCTAGTTGAAAAAGAGAGTGAAATAAAATATGAAACATTTAAATGTGATGCATTGCTTTTAGGAATGACATTTGGACGGGAAAAATATGAACCACATACCTTGCTTTATAGCCTGGCAGGCTAAATGAAGCACCACCAAAGATGAAGAACAGGCACTGTCAACGGCAAATGAAGGGCCGGTGAGATTAAAGGTGAAGGATATTCTATTGGCCGCCACACTCATGGCTGTACCAGTGCCGTTGTAGTGATTAATCGTAGTTGGACTGTTACTTTGGAGTATTTCGTAATCCCTGTTCATTAGACCTGCAATACCATTCAAAAACAAAATGTCAGTGTGTTTATCATAACAATATGATTTGACTTTTTGATTTATGTATGTGAAAGATAGTAGTACCCATGTACACTCCAGTTCTGGTTCCGCTGATGCTTTCCATAGCTATACCCGCATCTTCTAATGCCCTGTATGTACACTGCAGAAGGAGTTTCTGCTGAGGGTCCATGAAATCAGCCTCTACTTCAGTAATGCCAAAAAACCTGTGATCAAACTCATTAAACCTGAAATATAAAATAGCAGATTTATCAACATGTTTTAAAATGTGGGGATTAACATTTGATTTTGCCAGAAAATGCTTACCCTTCTATTAGAGCTGCTTTGGTTGTTTGTGTCTTTCCGGGTTTGCTCTCATCAGCATCATACCAAAAGGTGGTGTCAAATCTCTCTGTTGGAATATCCACAACGCAGTTCTTTCCCTCCAACAGAACCTTCCAGAAATTGTCCAAACCTTCACCTAAAATAGAATGTACTACAATTTAAGAATGAACCTTTAGACAACCTCGAAAAAAAATGCAGAGAAATTCAAAATACTTCAGTCATACCTCCAGGGAAATTGCATCCAATCCCGATAACCGCTATGTCATCATTTGCGTCCTCCATTATTCCTCTGGTAGGGCAGAAAGGTGGCTCTGCGGACATGGTTGCTTTATTGAAAAACCCAAAGAGAAACTTCAAGCTGCTCCATAGTGAAGCTTAATGTGCAGTCCTGAGCTAGTGATGCTGTTCCTCTAACCCTTTATAAACATTGTGCCAATGAAAAGGGGGGCGCAACAATGCCCTGCCTTGTTGCACCTCACTTGACTTCACCTGGAACTAAATACACTAATTGTAACTTAAGATCATTCAAAGGGAGTGAATACACTGTTTTTCTTGTTCGCAGTTTAACAAAAAAACTCAGTGTAAAATAAAGTCTGCTTTTTCAAGGCAGATATGTAAATCCTCTAAGTGGTCATTTCCAAAGAAACCTGTGATCCCCTCTCAAAGGAAATATAGTAACCTTTTAGCCTCAAAGATGTTCCTTAACAAATAATCATTGAGACAACCTGATTAAGGAATCAGGTATTAAAAGAGATTAAGAACACAAGAGAGCACATCCTTTCTCCATTGAGAGATCTATTACAAAAAGACAAACTTATGCTTTAAAATATATAAGAATGATATTATTTGTATTTACAACCAATTGGCTGAACACATAATCTGCAGATATATGCATACGTATTAACCAAAGTCTATCGACGAATGCAACAGTAATTATTATAATAGCCTACAACTGGTCAAACTGATATAATAAACCCCAGTAAAGTGTTATGCATTACACTAACGCACATCACATCACGCAAACATTATCTTGCTACTTTTTCAATTGTTATTCCTTTGCACATTTCTTCTCCACACTACCTCTTTCAAATCAGCACAGCTCTCCACTTTACATACAGTAGCCTATATAGTATTTGTCATATGCAAATATTGTTAATTTGTTATAATAGTCTTCAAATAGTTCTTGTAAAAAGCTTTCATAAGAGTCCATTTATTTTTATTTTGCTACATATTTTTCTTTCCATGTCTTTGTATGCACCACACATACCAAACCTACTTGTTAATAAAACCGCTTCTGATTCTGAAAATATTTGCCTTCATTTTTTGGACATTTTGTTATGTTGGAGCCTTATCCTGAAAGTGTTTAGCACCCCCGTGATGAGAAAGAGGAATCATTTGCAGATACATTTAAATGATATCACATTTACAAAAGTATTCAGAATCTTCAATCAAAGTCAAGCCTCGCATTTCTCTTCATCCATTTAGGAATATTTCTACAGAAGCCATGCAATGGAATGAACTATCCAGCCCTATGTTTCTGTGTTGCTCTGCATCCATTGAACCAAATCCAAATATTCCCATTTTTACTTTACAATGGAATTCAGTTCATAAAAAAAAACTATTTTAAATATGCTGTAGTTACAAAAGCAGAGGGTTCAAAAAAACATGTAAACATTAGGAATCAATTGTGTTTTAAATAGGTGACTAAATAATATTGTACCAAAGAATGTACCCATAGTAAAAAATAATAAGTATTGGAGTTATTTATCTTCCAAGGAATGCTAAAGACTATTAAACATAGAAACAGTTACTTACACGTTACACATTTCCTAGTCATGTCATCACTTGAGTCATGTACTGAACACCAAATTCATGAGTAAGGGTAACCTTTATTTGAGCTTCAAGAAAGCCTTTGTCTAAAAGAACAAACAGAAGCACAAAGCAATCCTTTTACACGCTGAGAGTATATATATACACAGTTCCCATCCTATATCAGCTACACGTGAGCATCGAATCACGCAAGGGACTATTACTAATTTCAGAAAAAGAGAACACAACTTTTGGGCACTTAAATAAATAAACAAAATAGATGCGACTGAAAGACATAATCTAGAGATTGAACTCTATTATGAACAGCATAATCAACTGTACCTTGGTACATTCTAGATTGAGGTCTTTTAAGGTTCTATGGTGTTGACTTGTCTGTACAAATGTATTTGAGACATAGACATACATGAAAGCATTCATCGCACCATGACCTTTGTCAATTTAATTTGCTCTATAACCTCGTAATGTTACCAAATTTGTATAAAATGATGCCTTTTGTCTTGGGAGTTGAGGACGATAAGCCCTTGACGAAACCTGTGGACAAACACGTGGAGAACACATTTTTAATTTCATCCAATTAAACTGTGATTTCTTAAAAAATGGCTGTGAAACCAAAAGTCTTCTCTACAGGAAAAGCAAGAGAAATGAAGATAAAATAAAAATGTATAAGGGGTGAAAGATCTTCACATCTATAATAAGAACGATTCAAACAAATGAAATACAAGGCCTCCAAAAGGCCAGTGCGCAATTGCACAGCTTCATATATACACAATACAAGATTCTAAAATATCTACTGAGGTATCGGGAGGTCTAGTGATTTGTCCTCAAGCAACATCTTGATCTCTTTGGCATCCAGAGTCTCATGTGCTAGCAGGGCGTCCGCTAGCTTCTTGTGCTCCTCACTGTACGTCTTCAGGAGGGATTTAGCACGTGCGTAAGAGTCCTGGATCCAATAGGAAGACAGGTGAAAAAGAAATGGATTAAGAAACGGATACATTATTAAACATATCTGACAAATAAAGTCAATGCTGTAGAAAACTCACAAGCAGTAACGCCCTGACTTCCTGTTCGATGGCTGCTTGTGTCTCGGGGCTCTGCTTGGTCACGTCCTTGTAGGTCATCACCCCAAGCTGCAACAAAAACACAAATGACTTCCTTGAGACGAGAGAACAATAGACTTCCTCATGCATCATTATACGCTACGAAGCTTTTTCCCAGGACTCCAGAATGAAAGACTTTTTTTGCTTTAGGAGTAATTATATGTTGTCAAGAGGACTGAAGGTTTTCATTGTAACGTAACAATAAACCATTCTCCCGGTCTCTGAAGAACAGCTGGAATCAACATCTTCGGAATAAAAATTGAAATTTGTGCTACCGCTTTATTGTTTGTATACACTATAAAAACACTTCAAGAACCAAAGCAATAAAATCCACAAAACGGCACTATTGAGTATTTATTTGTGTCATATATGTTAATGGAAAGTATTAAAATGTCTCCTAATCCAGGGGTTCCCAACCTTTATTGTGCCAAGGACCGGCAGATACATTAAAAAAATCGCGCACCGGTTGTCAATTTTAAATGATTTTAATATTTACTCACCACCAGCAGGTAGCAACAGAGGCTAATTGTATGTAACAGTCTGAACAAATACTAGAACAATATGCATCAAAAACATATTAAAAACGTTTAAAAAAGAACCAGTGTCGTTTTTTGGTTTTTCGGAAAACCAAAAAAACGACGTTATTCAGTTTTTAAACCAAAACGGGAAAACAGATAAATCAACGTTTTGGTTTTGTTTGTATGATTTACGGATAATCGGAAAAGAGATTATTATTATTAACACCTCTGCGGCCCGGTACCGGTCCACGGACCAGGGGTTGGGGACCCCTGCCCTAATCAACCAAACAAATTAAACTGTTACCTTGTCACTCATGCCGAACCTGGTCACCATCATTTTGGCTATTTTGGTCGCTCCATCAAAGTCACTGGAGGCTCCTAAAATACACATAAAGATACAAATAATCAAACTATTGTGTAGTAACACAGCACACAGATAATACAATCAGACATTAACTATAATATGGCAATGGAGTACTTGAGTGTGGATGTCAAATTATAAAAAAAGACTGTTTCATCACAGCTAAAATACAAATTGCTAAAAGTGAAATTCTGTATTTATTATTATAATACCGATCTGTCAAGGTACATTTGAGCTCACACAGACTGTATTAAGAAACTATACATATTGTGGTTACAGTGAGGTTGAAACATATTCTCTTAAACATCATTTCTGATGCTGATTGCACATAACACCCAGGCAACAACTAAACGTATCTCTCCCGCACCAGTAGTGATGTTGTCATCTCCGAAGATGAGCTCCTCTGCTACTCGGCCCCCCATGCTCACATCCATCTGAGCCAGCAGCTGGGCTCTGGTCTCACTCCAGCGGTCATCCTCTGGGAGCATGGACACCTAAAGGACAGAGACAAAAGACACTATGTTGAGCTTTAGGTTTAATGAGACAAAAACAGCACTTATTAGGTACATTGGAAAAGCTTACATGGCCAAGAGTTGGGCCTCTGGGCATGATGGTGGCTTTATTGATGGGCATTGCGTCTTTGGTGTAATAGGCTACAATAGCATGGCCGGACTCATGGTAGGCTGTGATGGTCTTATTCTTCTTGTCGATGTCAACACTCCTCCTCTCAGGGCCTGGTTTTAAAGGATTACAAAAATTCCATTCAGCTTTTCTATATTTTTCCTATCTTAGATCGATGTAATCTGTCTCATGTGATGTCAGGGTTCCAGAGGAGATTTAAACACCGTGTGTACTCACCCATGAGGATCTTGTCCTTAGCGAATTCCAGATCTTTCATTGTGACCATCTCTTTCTCGTCCACGGCTGCCTTCAGGGCGGCCTGGTTCACCAGGTTCTCCAGCTCGGCCCCGGTGAATCCCACGGTCCCCCTGGCAATGATTCCTGCTTCCACGGCTGGAACAGAGCAACACAATAGGAAATGCCTTCTTTATAAAAAGGTGATCAGTGTTCAAGAGACAACGGGGTCCTTCATAGAAATGGAAAACAGAGGTATTCTCACAGGTGTACCGCTCGGAATGCTTTGCGATCTCAGTTGATAAGGAAGGCTAATACTTGCAAAATGTGCAGGGTTTGTCAATAATATAAGAGAAGTTGCCACTTTTCTTTTCTGGTATTGGTTGAAAAGAGAATGTTGGTTCGTAAAAAGAAAAGTTTCCAATTTCAATTAGTTTCTGAATTGCCAAAAAATGTATAAGGATGACAAATAAAGAGTGCAGTAAGAAAGATATCCTGAAAGATTTGATTGCTGAGATATTAATTTAAAGAAAGTACCATTAAATGTAACATTAAGACCTACCAGGGTCCACTTTGATCTTGGAGAAGTACCAGTTGAGAATTTCCGTGCGTCCTTTCACG